GAGACCCCTCTATACGTGCGGTCACTGATGAGGATGGACCCCTCTGTCTGTGCGGTCAGTGGCGGGGATGGACCCCCGTGTCCGTGCGGCAACTGATGAGGATGGACCCCCGGGTCCGTGCGGTCAGGGGCGGGGATGGACCCCTCTGTTCGTGCGAACTCCCCCGGTTGGGGACTCGGATGTATTTTGTTCCGGGGGTCCGCACAGAGCCCTGGAGCGAGCGGGGGGCGAGCGTACGGAGTACCGGGCACAGAGGGTGCGTGAGTAAACCCTTAGTAAACACTGAATAAACCGGCTGTCAGCGCTGTTTGGGGAGCGCAGAATAGAGGGAAGCGAGGGATCAGATGAGCACCTGCTTGCACAGGTGCCGTCACCTCTGCCGGGACTCAGGTGCGAGCCCTTGGCTGGGCAGAGTCGCGGCTGTTCTGCAGGAACGGCTCCAGACTCTGGAAACAGCGAGTGTCACTGGAGTTCCTCTTCACTAAAATAACTGCACGGGGGTATCGCTAACGAGACATCAAAACTTCAGCCAGAATGACCAGCAGCAAATAAAAAAATAGTAATATTTCATTTATTTTTGTATTATGTAATTATTTGTCCTTAAATATTAGCCAAGGTTATTCCCCGCAGTTACACCCCGATTTTCCCGCCCTCTGTGGCTGCCTGGCAGCGCCCAGAGCCCCGCAGAGTGGGTACAATGTTTGCCTGCAGAACAACTGTATCGCTTTAATTGGGATTTAGGCGAAGGAAACATTTCCCTCATTCATTCACTGTCACCCACAGCCACGTGCTGCCGTGGGTAACAGGTAGGAATGGTGTTCCTGTTTGTTTCCCTCTTGGGAAACAGAAGAGGTGTCCTCGCTTGTTTCTCTCTCTACAGCAGCAGGAGGACGCTGGTGAATGGGAACAAGCCCACAAGAGCCAGTTTGAAATCAGCACTTCCCCTGCACTGGCTCCCATTAAAAATATCTCCAGAGGAGTTGGAGCTGGGGCTCTGGAGCAAGGATATGCAGAGGCGGCAGCCCGTGATTCAGGAACTGAAGCGAAGGTCAGAGAACAGAGTTTTATGGGTTTCCTACATGGCTGCAATACTACAAGCCATTACTCATCGGGAATTTGGCAGAGTAGTGGTGCCTAATATCATTAGATAATCCTAATGAATTCTTGTGTAATCAAATCTAATCTCTGGATGGGCTCAGCAGGCGGAGGCTGCAGGGCAGTGACAGAAGGGCTGTCACCAGAGCCAGGGGCAGAGCTGTGCCTGCTGAGCACCTTGAGCAGCTCTGCAAGCAGCGTGCCTTAAAATAGCTCCAGCACTGAGGGACAAATCCCAGCAGCAGCACCGGGGGGAGCAGGGGAACGGGCTGCCCAGAGAGGGAGTGGAATCTGCCCCTGTGGAGAATTCCTCCCCACAAATACCAAAGGCCACATTTTCACTTGTAGACTACATTTGATTCTGAGTCTTGGTCAGTTCTTAAAGGCTGAGGAGCTCATAGCATCCCAGAATGGTCTGAGCTGCTCCCAGCCCCAACCAGCCTGGTCTTGGACACTTCCAGGGATGGGGCAGCCACAGCTGCTCTCTCTGGGCACCCTGTGCCAGGGTGTCCCCACCCTCACAGGATGCAATTTCTTCCTAATATCAAACCTACACCTATTCTCTGTCAGCTGGAATCCATTCCCCCTTGATGCTCTGATGGCCCCTCACCAATTTTTTGGCTATCAGTCAAAAATACCAACCAAGCTCTGCAAAGAACTTGCTAGATTTGAAGGAGTGCTGGCAAAGACAAGATCATCATGGAAGTTCCCAATGCAGGAGAACATTTCCAATTGTCTTTAGGAGCTTGCTCTGGGCGCTGCTGCAGGCGCTGTGAGTTCATGGGGCTCCTATGGTCTTACAGCACTGAAAAGAGGTAAAACTGCAGGGCAGCGTGGGAGTGGGAAAGGTCACCTTGGGAAGGAGCAGAGCATTCCCTTACAGGAATTTTCCCTGATAATGGGACCTACAGGAGGCAGCCCGAGATGGGAACAGTCCTGTTCAAATGAGGGCTGGGCTCGGAGCCCACACACCCCCAGAGGGTCGAGGGAACGAGCTCAAGAATTCAGAGAGGAAATAGTGAAACAACACTGCTTGGTAGGTATCACTTCAGCCCTGGGAGCTGCACTGTGAATGTTTGGCCCAATTGCACATGTGGTTTCAGTCACAGGAAAACAACTTGTGAGGGATTTTTATTTTTTGGTATTGGAGTACTTTGTTCTTTTTCTCCTTTTCAAACCTTGTTCTGCTCCACTCCTACTTTATTTTTAGCAATTATGGAAATTCAGCACTGATGAAAGATGTTAAAATGAAATTTGAAGTCTGTTATTTGCTTTTTTATTTCTATTGTCTTGTTTCGTGTTGACAAATTTACAACTAACAATTGGCTGTTTTGGAAACATTGCACCTCCAGCCTGGTGGGTGCCTTGGCAGGGGTTTTGTCTCTGCCGTTTTGGTTTTGTCTCTGCTGTCAGTTGCAGCTCAACAGCCCTGGAAGAAAAATGAGAGCAGAAGATATTCCAGGACTGCGAGGATCAATCTGCCTCCTCTTGCTCGTGGCTGGTCTCACAATGGGGAGGATGATCCCAGAAGTTCCCTGTCCTCAGGGAGATCCATGCAGGCACTCAGGGATGAAAAGCACTCCTGGAACACCTCAGCCTCTCATGAAGTGCTGGAAAACCTCTCATTCCCATCACATTTTAATAACAGCAAGGTCAGAAGCGTGGGGAATCGGTGTGAGGAGAGGGAAAAACTGGAGCCTGCATGGCTGAGCACAAAAGGATCCACAGCAGCAAAAGTTCTCCAAGTCCTCAGGATCTCAGAGTGGAAGCTGCTCAGAAGCAAACTGTAATTATTTCATCTGTTCTCTGGGGAGAGTAAGGAATATGAGCCCTCCTGATGGAGCCACACAAATGATGCACACAAGAATTCCAGCAAAATGAGCCATGAGAATGCTGCATACACCAGAGAGCTGTCCCAGCTCGTTGGAAATCAGCTGATTTTCCTGAATTCCAGCACCCCACAGCCAGAATCCCAGGGCTTTATTGAGGGGAGGTTATCCTGACAGACTGTTCAGTTCTAGAAGTCTGTAGAGTTTGGATGCCTACTTTCTGCTCTCACTTCAGTGAACTGTGTTGGGAAATATTTAGCAGGAGAATATAAATTGGATTTAACTCTCATTTTCAAGGCCATTCATTCCTTAACAAAGGGCAAAGATCACTGTGCCAATGCAAAAGGAATATTTCCGTTTTCTGACCCCAAAGCAGCAAGGGTTGGTTGTATAATTAAGTTTGTACTCATTTGTTTTCCTGCACTCTGATGCTTTTCGGGAGCACATCACAAGGCAAAAGGGACTAATGATGGATAATTGGAATTCATCCCTGCAAGGCCTCCTGTCACATTCACATTTTCTGGAAAAATCCCCTTGCCCAGGATCTTCTCCTGGGAAGCTGAGAAGCCTCAGAGAAAAAGGAAAACAAATTCTTACCTCATTTGCTTCTCCTGTGTTATGCTCACATGTGGAATGTGTTTGGGGATTGTTTACCCACAGGTGATTGTTTCATTGTGTTCTGTTGTGAATTATTTTGACTTAATGACCAATCAGTGCCAAGCTGTGTTGGGACTCTGGAAAGAGTCACAATTTTTCATTATTATCTTTTTAGCTTTCTGTAAGTATCCTTTATCTATTCTTTAGTATAGTTTAGTGTAATATTCTTTAATATAATATAGTATCATAAAACAATGAATCAGCCTTCTGAGAACATGGAGCCAGATTCATCATTCCTTCCTGCCATGGGGCACCCCACAAATAAAATATCCTCCCAGCATTGCCCTTTTACACAGCAAAACTTCAGAGAGCAGCACAGCTCCTTCCAGCACTCACACACACCAAACCCCTCCGTCACTCGTGCTTCTCTTTGCTGCAAGTAGAAGCCAAAATTACATTGAGTATTTTGAATTAATATCCCGCAGGATGAGTAAAGATTTATTTCGGTGTAGGGGATGATGCAGAAGATCCGTTCTGTTGACAGCTCTGAGGAGAAGCTCCCACAAGAAAGTGAAGATTTTACAGAGTCTCCAACAACTTCAGTGAACTGCGGGAGAAATGGAGGAGAACCCAGGAATTGTGAGTCCCTGCTGGAGAGGGGCAATCCCACAGCACCCTTCCAGAGAAGGGTGGGAGCACAACCTTGGTGCCCTTCATGAGAGACCTGTGGGGACACTGGAGATGTTTTATGGATGGGTGGGATTCCTGTCCCATTTGAGATCTTTGAGTGCATTTGAGATCCATCTGAGTGCATTGCTGAGCTCCCCTCTCGGGGTGCCCTACACCAGGGAGGGATCAGCAGGAACCGCTGTGGATGGTGACAGAAGGGGACAGGGAGGGACAGTGGGGCCAGGAGGGGATACAGAGGGACAGGGAAGTCAGGAGGGGACAGAGAAGGACAGGAAGGGACAGTGGGGTTGAGAGGGGACAGAGAGGAACATGAGGGACAGTGGGGTCAAGAGGGGACAGGGCAAGACACGAGGGACAGGGGGGAACAGTGGGGTCAGGAGGGGACACGAGGGGATAGAGAGGGACACAGAGAGGACACGGACAGTGGGGTCAGGAGGGGACAGAGAGGGACACAGAGAGGACACGGACAGTGGGGTCAGGAGGGGACAGAGAGGACACGGACGGTGGGGTCAGGAGGGGACAGAGAGGGACACGAAGGGTCACGGGGGGGACAGGGAAGGACACGAGAGGACAGAGAAGGACACAGAGGGACAGTGGGGTCAGCAGGGGACAGAGAGGGACACTGAGAGGACACGGACAGTGGGGACAGAGAGGGACACGAAAGGTCAAGGAGGGGACAGAGAGGGACACGAGGGGACAGCCCCGGTCCCGCCCCTCAGGGCGCGGCGCGGCCCCTTTAAGACGCTCCCTGTCACGTGACGGCGCGCGGCACGTGCCCCTGCCGCCAAGATGGCGGCGCCCGCCCGGCTGTGCCGCTGCCTCCTCCCGCTGCTGCTGCTGGCTATGGGAGCGGGAGCGGCCGGGACCCCCGGCACCCCGGGCTGTGGCTGCAGCGCCAGCCGGGCCGCCGGGGACGGGCGAGAGGAGGCGGCGCGGCGCTACTCGGCGGCAGCGGCGGTGGGCAGCGGGCGGAGCGGCGGGCAGGGGCCGGTGAGCGGCGGGGCCGGGCCGGGAGGGGGCTCGGCCGCCTGAGGGGAGGCCCCGACGGAGTACGGCCTCCTCCGGGATAACGGAGCAGCCGGGGAGCTGCTGTGGGGAAAGTTAAATTAAATTGTAGGCGGGTGGGGCGAGCCCCTGAGGAGCTGGGCTTGGGCGCGGGTGCTGCTTCGGGCCCCACCTCGCTGTTGCCTCACGGAGAGAACGGGAAACCTGAGGGAATTCATCTCCTGCTGCCTCTGTTCTGGTGCTGGGAAGCTGCATCAGCCTGGAAAAGTCTGTGTGCAACAGGCAGGGGGGAACTCGCTTCATAAATTGGAGAATATTTAGAGTATGAACTGAATAATTCCCTGTTGTGCTTGGGATCCGTGTCACCGATGGATATTTTGTGTGACAAACTGAGCAGTTCACTGTGGGGCTGGAGGATGAAAAAATCCTCTGACCCCTCGTGCAGCTGTCAGCTCCAGCAGTAGGTAATGAAAACTAATTACAATTATGCTCATAGCATTAACTTGATGATGCTCAGCTGCAAAACACCTTTACCAGCAGAGAGGTGAGAGAAGAACTGGCCTCTGCATCACCCACAAACAGGTTTATTTATTGCCAGCATGGTTTTACAACTGGAGAGCCAGCACGAGTTAATTTTGCACGTGGTTTTAGCCCAGTGAGCTCTGAGCCTGGCGTGGAAACCTCTTGAGGGAGTTGTTCCAGCTACCGAGGCTTGAAGAGAGATTGGGAGGGAGGAAGTGGTGCAACTTTGTGTTGTCGTTTCCTAAGCTCTAAAAAATGTAAGCAAATTTATCCTGAAGGCCTTTTATGGAGTCAGTTCCAGACTGACTGTAGGAGCTCAGATTCTTCTCAGTGGAGAAAGTTACGAGGACACAGCCAGCTTCAGATGGGGGCAGTCTGAAGGAGATGATGTTTGTAGCATTTTTTATGGGCCGGTTACAAGTTGTGTGAATTTTAGGTGTGGCTGGGAGAGATCTACAGTGGAGAAGGAACACGGGAGTGGGATGAGAAAGGTGATGCCAAATCCTCATTCCCCTGCCCTGAAGAGGCAGGATAGGTGCTGGGGAGCTGCTGTGAGCTCATTGTCTGCTCCTTTGCTGCAGAAATAACTGCTCAGTGTAACACAGGAAACACAGCATGCTTCTCCTCATGGGAGCACAGGCATGACCCAGACCTGCTGTGGAAAATGGGGGTTGTCCCCATTGCAGTTCTGTTTGCTGTGTCCCCAAATGGGCTGCCCAGAATGCCGTTTCCAAATGACCTGCAGAGGTGAGGAGCAGAGCAGCCTGTGCTCCTCAGTGCCTCACTGTGCCTCCCTGGGCTGTTTGCTGTGCAGATGGTGCTGATCCCAGCTGGGGTGTTCACCATGGGCACCCAGGAGCCCCAGATCCAGCAGGATGGAGAGGGCCCAGCCCGCAGGGTGCACCTTGGCAGCTTCTACATGGACCAGTACGAGGTCAGCAACCGGGACTTCGAGAGCTTTGTCAACGCCACGGGCTACGTCACTGAGGTGAGGCACCAGGGCTCCCCTCAGCCTGGGACAGCCCCCGTGGAGCCAGCCTTGTCTTGTTGAAGGATGTCACAGCACTGTTTGGGAATTGCACGCTGCAGGATTTCTGCTGGAGGGAGTGGGGAGGGGGAATTGCCCTGCTGTCCTGGGCTGAAAGGGCAGGCAGGGGTTTGTGGCTGTGTTTAATAATTGTCACCTGAGCTCACATCTGCCCTGCAGCCTGGGTGAGGCCAGCAGGTCTCCACAGGGGGTTTTGGGGTGCTTTGCTTGGGGTTTTTTGGTGTTTGGGTCCTGGAGTATAGGAGAGTGCCCCCTGTTAACGGAGTGACAAAACTCTCCTTTGTCCCCTCAGAAAGGAAGGAAGCCCAGAAGTTTCTCTCCTTGATTAGGTGCAAAAGCCACTTCACAGGCCTGGGGGACTTCACCTCAAGCTTAAGGATAGCCAATTGGACAGGAGCCAGAAAGTCTCGCCTGGGCAATTTACTAGAAAAAGAAGCTAACAAAGAAACAAATGGCTTTTGTGAGGTGTTTTACCAGGGGCAAGGACCTCCTGCACCTGGCTCGGTTTTTCTCTGTTATTTTGCCTTTCATTAAACCTTTTTGTTTCCAACACTGCCCCAGAAGCCATCCTGCTGATTTTATGCCTCCAAGGGTAGGTGAGCTGTCTTGGGTGTGTTATAGACCTCTGAGAGCTTATGAGACCTGGCTCAAAGGGGCTGCTGTAACACTGGAGCTCTTTGTACCAGGTTAGATTCTCCTTGGTTTAGAGAAACCTGGAGAAGGGATTTAGCAAACTGAGATGGCCAGGGACTCTGCAGGCTGGCTCAGCACAGCTCTGCTGTGACAGACAGAGAGCCCTGTGCCTCAGGAGGGGACAACAGTGACAATTGTGTGCCTGTTCCTGGGGACAGTGTACCAGGAATATGCTGAGGTTCCTGCCAGGAAGGAGCCCCTGTGCCTGAAGCTCAGATCCCTCCTGACAGGTGCCTGTTCCTACACAGCTGTGACAGTCCCTGACAGCCCTTTCAGGGAAGTGGAACCTGGGCAAGGAGCAGCTCTCCAAGGAGGCACTTTGCTGAATTCACTTGATGAACTGGCTGAATTTGGAAGGCAGGATCCTCTGGTTGGATGAAGAGCTTCTTTGTCTGCTATTTCTGTTTCTTAGCTCCCTAATTATGAAAAGAGGGAGGTTTAACTAAATTGAGTTGGAACAAAGCTTGCTTGTAGCAAACAGCTTCTGGGATGGGCACATGTGTGATGGGGTAAATGTGGAATTACAGAATATCCTCAGCTTGAAGGGACCCCAAGGATCATCAGGTGCAAGCCCTGGCTCTGCACAGACACCCCAGCAGTCCCACCCTGTGCCTCAGAGTTATCCAGATGTTCCTGGAGCCCTGGCAGGCAGAACTGCATCACCTGGGAGCTGCTGCAGACCCCATGGCTCAGCTGGTGTCATTGAGGGCTCCACTTACACCTCCTCCCTTTTTTTTCTCTTGGTATAATGTACTGTGATTGATGGAAATTATTTGTATTTTTTATTCTTTTATATTGATATAATGCTAGATATAATGACTGAGTTACTTTTAACTCTTTATTGTTGTAGCAGCACTTTTAAATGTGGCACTAGTGATGATGGAGCAGTAAGTGACCAGGCTCAAGTCTTTTATTGTGCTTCCCAAAGGAAAAGCAAGAGGAATGAAACATGCCCTTTCATATTAGACTGATGACTGTAGCATCTGAAAGCAGTTGGGACAATCAGAACTGCATTTTTAATGAATAAAAGTAAAAACATGTGCAGAAGCTCAGTGAGCTGCCATCTGCCCAGTGGCTGCTGAACAAAAACAACATCCAGAGAAAAAAATCCTTATTTTCTGTTCCAAAACAGCTTCTTTGAAAGAGAACTTAAATTCACTATTAGAATTTGTTTGGTCAAAGGTTGGACATGATGGCCTTGGAGGTTTTTTCCACCTTAAGGATTCTCTGAATTTTCTTATCCTTGATAAAACAGAGCTGTAAGTGTTGAGTGTGGTTCTAAGAATAGCGCTCCTTTGATGACATAATGGTTGAATCCTTTGTTCTTTCCACAGGCAGAGAAGTTTGGTGACTCCTTTGTGTTTGAGGGGATGCTGAGTGAGGCAGTGAAGGCTGACATCCACCAAGCAGTGAGTAGCACAGCAGGGGGAAGCTCCCTGAGCAATCCCTGGGCTCTGCTGGCAATCACTGCAGGGAAAAGTGATCTTTGTGGTGTCCCCAAAGCCAGGTGCAAAAATGGGGATTATGGAGAGGTGTTTGGCCAGGAATCATGGGCTGAAGTGGGGAGGATTTGCCATCTGCTCTCTGTCCTTCTTTAAAAGCAATTAAAATTAAGCAAATAAAAAAAAAATCAATTCTTTAAAAAGCAATTAAACATCAATTCCTGATGAGTAAAGTTTGGTATCAACCCCTTGTTGTCTCTCTTTGCCCCCTACCTGAGAAGTTCAGGCTGTCTGTAAGATTCCTTATGTTGTGAATGGCTGGGGTTTATGATGTTTGCTCCTCTCTAGAGGATCCTGTGTTCATTTGCTGCTTTTCCAGCTCCCCTCATCCCCCTGGGCACTGCAGTGATCCTGGAGGGGCAGTGCTGACTCCTCTGGAGCTGATCCAGTTTTCCTGTTGAGTGAAAGTGAATATTGGTTTAAAAAGAAAGAAATTTCTGTACTAAATCTTCCCTGCCCTCTCTTTCCTCTTTTTCTGTTGTGAATGTGTTGCTGAGCTTTCCTCAGACTTCATTTACCCCCTCCTGAGCAGGTCAGGTCCCTTTGCACTCCTGGCAGATAAGCAGATTGTGTCCTGCCATGTCCTGGGTGAGCTGGTCTGCTCTGAGCACAGGTTTGGACAGAATCACCTCCTGAGCCCCTCCTGTCAGAACTCCCCTCAGCTCTGAAGGGTCACAGTTTGGTTGTTGTTTTCCAGGGGCAGCCTGAGAGAGGGGAGGTTTCAGGAAGCCCTGTGTGAGTGTGTGCTCTGAGGGCCTGGCAGAGAACGTGGGGTTTGGGTTCCTGCTGCCAGGGAAGGAAGATTACAAGTGCAGTTTGTAATCTTTTAATTCAGGACTAGCATTTGTGCGCTGGGAGAGATAAGGCTAAATTGCAGTTCCCACCACCAGCATAGCTGATGCTAAATCCATCCATGGATTTGTTCTGCCTTCATAAAAATAATAAAAAATACAAATTAAAAAATTAATGTCTCATCCCATCTTCCCAACAGAAGAGAAATTCCTTTTCCTGTGTAGCTCTGTGTTGCAGAAATTCCTAAATCAGTGTCTGTGTTTTAAAACAAACAAACAAACCCCAAGAATGCTGCTGTAAGCTCAGCCTTGGCAATTTTGTAAACACAGAGTGTTGGGAGCCACTTTCCTGAGCGTGTCAGCCAAATTTCCCAGTGCTGGCTGCAGTGCTCACAGGACAAGTGTTGTGCCAGAGGCCTGGATGGAGCCCAAACTGGTCCTTTTTGGCTGCTGCTTTCTGAAGGTTTTCTGGAGCTGTTAAAGTAAACTTGCTGTTAAAAGTCACCTTCTTCAATCATAGCTACCAGATGAAAAGCAGAAATAAGATATAAATATTGGTGTGTTACTGGCACTGCAGATCCCTCCAGCCAGCCACTGGGAGAAAGGGCTGTGGTTTTCCTTTGCCTCAGTGGCTCAGCAGTGTTTTGACAAGGATTTTCTCCAGGTGAAGCTCAGGCATGTGAAATATAAATGTGAATATAGGGGAAGAGCAACAGGAATGTAAATTTTTAAAGCAGTATTTCACATGCAGTGAAATAACTGGGGAAAGGTGAAAGTGGAGGTACCAAACTAAATCATTTAGAGGTGATGAGCTGTGTGTCTGTTGGGGGTTTTGCTCTGTTTGGCCACTTTGTGTTCTCCAGTTCTTAAAGCAGATTTAGCAGAGCCTCAGAGCCACTGGCTGAGGCAGAGCTGGGGCTGCTGAGGAGCGAGCAGGGTGATTGTTGGAGCTCTGGGTGTGCCTTTCCTGGAGGTGAGGTGGGCTCCACATAGCCACTGACAGGAATGTGGGCTGGCCTCAGCTCTGGAAGGGAAGCAGTAAAAAGGGGTGGGAGCAGCCAGGGATGGAATTGTTGCACATTTCTGGGAACTCAGGTTTTAGTTTTGGCCTCCAAGTTTGTGGTGCTCACGTGGCTGAGGGAGGATTTGGTGCTGTGCCAGATGAGGGAGTTACTGATGGAACAGGGGAGGGCTCCTTCAAATGGAAAAGGATTTTGTGGGGTGAGGGGAAAAGGCCCTTTGAAGCTGAGATTATTTGTGAGGGCTTAAAGCATTGAGAGCTTCACATCGTAAATTCTTCACATGCAACCTCGAGAGGAGAAGGTTCTGGAGAGACCTTGGAGCCCATTCCAGGGCCTAAAGGGGCTCCAGAAGAGGTGGAAGAGGACTTTGGAAAGGGACAGGACACAGGGAATGGCTTCCACTGCCAGAGGGCAGGGATGGATGGGATATTGGCAGGAGCTGTTCCCTGGCACAGGTGCCCAGAGCAGCTGTGGCTGCCCCTGGATCCCTGGCAGTGCCCAAGGCCAGGCTGGATGGAGCTCTCAGCAGCCTGGGACAGTGGGAGGTGTCCCTGCCATGGCAGGGGTGGCACTGGGTGGGATTTAGGGTCCCTTCCAACCCAAACCATTCCATAATTCCCCTTTATTCTGAGGGACTTGAGAGCTCTTGCCAATCCCTGCAGGAGTTTCCTTGCTGCCCAGGTTCCATGGATGGCACAACAGGAGTGCAGCCTCAGTCTTTGCTCACTGGAGGGCAGTGGGGACATTGTTGTTCTTGGCTCATGGAAGGCAGAAAAATTAATTTTTGCTTCAACACCAGATAAATTCTGCACTGAAGAGCCTGAGAGCATACAAATGTGTGCTGCCTTTGTGAGGGTATGGAATTTTGGGTCTGGAATGCAATGGAATTGGCCCACTGGCAGCTCAAGCCAGCACCGAGTTCTGGCCAATCCAGAACTGTGGGATGCTGCTTTCATCCCTGTCTGTATGGAAATCTCTGCAGTGGCCGGGAGCTGTGCAGTTTGCCTGTTTCACAACAACCCCAAACTGAAACATTCTGCCTTTCAGCTGAGAGGAGCCCTGGCTGCAGGTGGGCCAGCAGTGCCAGTGTGGGCAGGGTGAGCTGTTCCTGCAGCCCCCACTGCTCCAGCTGCTCCCTGCAAGGAGCTGCGAGATGGAGCTGCTCCTCTGTGGCTTTTTGTGCTCTACTCCCACTGCCGAGAGGGATGTGCAGGAATTCTCCCTGGGAATTGCCAGGAACATCAGCCTGTGTCATCAGAGCTGCAGTTTAAAGCAGAGCATGGTTTGTGCCTCAGGATAGATCCGTGCACATCTCCTCTCCTTACAGCTCATGTGCTCTTGGTTAGTGGAAAAAATGACCAGTTGGAGTGCAGATCTAGAGGTTGGCTGGAAATTAGACTTCCAGAGGTGTCTGCCTTCACCAGGAATATCAGTTCCTCAAAAGAAGCTTCTTCTGATTCCAAAACTTGCACTTCATGAATCTGACTGGATTTGAGCATCACGTATTTGTGGTTATTTTTCTTGGAGGATTGACAGGGCTGTGAAGTTTTACACTGCCTGAACTGAAGTTCAATGACCTTTCCTTGTGCAAAGAAAAGGTCCCTTCATAGAAGTGCTTGTTTCCAATCAAGTCTGAAATATTTTTTGTAGTTGATGATTTACATAGTGAAATTAAATATATTTTAAAGCTGCTGCCTTTCCTTGGTGTGCAGTTTCAAACTGCTGTAAAATACTGGATTTTAAGGCAGATAATATTCAATATTAAACAAACCCCCTTGTTGCTTCTGTTCCTGAGCTCATGAGGGAGGCCATTAACATTAGAAATTAAGAGTGAGAACAGATTCTTCTGTAATTAGAGCTTTGAGGGAGTTGGGACTTTTAATTGATGGAATAAATAGCCTGGGAATTGCAGGAGCTGGTGAAATCAGGTATTCACAGCATCCTGGCAGGGACCTCTGGAGATCCCAGTCCAGCCCTGATGCAGGTGTGAGCTGCCTGCTGGACAAATCCTCTGCTCACTGTGAGTTCTGTTTGTGTGGGGCAGCATTTCCCAGTCCTGGCTCAGTCCTTGTGCGTAATTACAGCAGGTTTGTTCTCTGTGGGGACACTGAAGTGGATCCTTTGCACAGTAATTATTTTTATTTCTTAAACTTCTCACCCTACTAAAAATGCTCTGTTTTCTGTCTGCCTCTTTCTTCAGTAGTTCATTAATCAGTGCTCAAGGTTTAGGATCTGGCTTAGAGCAGGAAGAACTGTCAGAGATTTATGTGTATCTGCCTTACATGAATAAAATAAAACCTCATCCAAAAATGATGTTCTTTACTGAATAACAAATTTTTCCTCACATCCTACCAATGCTAGCAAGATCCTTTTGCATATTAAAGATGTACAGAGCTCAACACCATCTGATTGAAACAAGTGGTAACCTATTAAGTCAGCTTCTGAACTGGAGTGGTTTTTTAAGAACCCACCACTTAATAAATGAGTTTTAAAGTGGCTTCCAGACTTGGGCTGCTTTTCACTCAAAGTCTCTTTTAACACAGTTAATTCTGAAGTTCTTACTCTGCAGTCACTTTTGGTTTTTTCCAGCTGTTTATCCTGACCTGGAGTATTTTAAAATACTGTATTAAAATAGCATTAGAATGCTGTAGCACAAAAAAAGCTGATGTTTGGTGCAGTATGACTGGACAGCAGCACGAATTTGTCATATCTTGTGGGCCCGCCTTAAAGTTCAAATCCACAGCTTTGTTATTTCAGGGCACTTGCTACTTGATGGAAATGTTGGAGCCTGAGCCAAGATGAGCTCCTCTGTTGAGTTTATTTTTGGTAATTTTTGGGATACATAAATCTGATTTGAATTTGAGATTTGCTCCTCAAGTGGGGGTTGTTTTTCTCTCGAACGTGGCCTGTGACAGGTTAGTGCAAGAATAATAAATGCTGTTATGGCTTTGGCCTGGGTGCCTTTGGGGTGGTTTTTGGGGTATTCCCCTACTGCAGCAGCAGCAATGTTGACAGTGAAACTCACTTGGTGATGTTCCCTACTCTAATTTTCTTTTCTACATAGATTTAGGAAGGAATTTTCTTCAAGCTAATTGTGAAGTAGTTTAAAAATCTTGACATTGTGAGGTAATGGAGCAATTAAAGCTAGGCTGTCCCAGCCCACTTGGAAAGGAAAATGGAATACTTAGGAGGAGAGTTTTCTGCAGGCTGTTAGTGGGAGCTCAGGCTCCAGCTCTGCAGATTGCTCTGCCCCAGTGCAGAGCTCGTGGGCTGGAATTAATTGTTTGAGCTCTTCCCAGTGCTAGCACACTGGGCTCTCTTTTCACAGCTCTCTGGGTCTGCAAGAAGCAGAACAGGGAGTTCTCAAGGTTTAATCCTGGAGGGGAGAGCAGGATAATCCCCATTTCCAGCTGGATCAGACCAAGCCAAGCCTTTGTGCCTCTGCTTTGCTCGGGGAATGTTTCCCTGTGCACCAGGATTGCAGGGCAGGTGTGGGTAACCTGGCACAGGGACATGCTGCAAGAATTACCCAAAAGGAAGGGGATTGTGCTGTGATTCAAGATCTGTTCAGCAGCATCTGCTGCTGTTTGGACAGCAGGAATCTGTTGCCTGTGCACAGAACGTGTTTCGGAGGGAAGCGGAACGTGAAGTGTTATGAAAGTAACTAAGCTCATTATTGGCAGGGGAGGACTTGGCTGTATTAACTGTGATGTTGTAATATCTCTGTCTAATTAGCTCTTCTGCTAATTAGATTTAGAGCAATTAAAAGCTTTAAAGCCTTGGGAGAAGTTCTGGGAGAGAACTGTGGATTCCAGGTAGGAGATTTCTGGAAGGAGCAGCTCGGGGTGTGTTACCAGGGCCAGGGGCTGCCTTGGACGAGTCTCCAGGTAATTCCTGCAGGCTCTGTGTGCTCTCCCCGTTATCCCTGTCCCAGCCCTGCGTGTGTGGCTGCTCTGGGTGCTCTGCAGGGCCTGGCAGCCATTTGGGGCTCAGCTCAGCAGAGCCACAGCCGGGAGCTGCGCACACGCAGTGCTTTCCTGGGGAGAGACATTTTTCCTGGGTTAAAATAAACCAGCCTGATTGAAAGCATCTGCTTTTTCTTTTGCATCACAAAAATGTTTTCCAAAATTAAAGTCGTCTAAAGTGTAAATCTTTGCAGTCTCCTGCAGAGATGTTTTTATCCAAAACCCAGCAGTTTAATTTACAAAAATATGTTGTGCTTAGAAACTGTCGAAATCTTTCTTGTGATCTTTCAGATTTTAGCTTTAGCCAGTGGTTCTGCCGCTCTTTTATTTTCCTTAAATAGCTGTAAAATGCTAATTTTGGATTTCTGTCCTATTTCCAGTGTAGTTTAAAGGTCAAACTTCAATATGGACAAGGAATTGGTTAAATCAGACTAGTTTTAAACCTCTTGACTGTTGTATCAGTTTAGTAGCCCATCACTCTGAAGTTTTAGTGCTGTGAAGTTGAGCAGAGGATCTGCAGGAAGGTCTCATTCTGGGGTTTGAAGCTTTAGTCCAGGATTGCTGATTGTTGATTTCCAGGGAGCTTTCCATGTCCAGATGTGCTGCAGGCAAAATCTGTGTGTGCTGGGAGGGGAGGAGGGAAAGGCTATCAGGGAGTGTGGGCACAGCCTGATGAGGCTCCAAACCCAGGGTGAGGTGTGTTTGGTCACTGGCTATTGAAATATCCACGTGAGGGATTTGATGCGTAGCTTGGACCAGAGTTTTCTCCGCAATCTCTGTGTGACACAGATAATCCACACATGTAATTACATGTTCTCTTGGAGGATGCAGCTTCCCCCTGGAAGCTGCTGTTAGAATTGTTTGCCCAGACTGATTCTGGGTCTCCTCAACACCAGCTTGCAGTGACTTTTTGGACTTTGCTCTGAAGGTTTGATGAGTTAAAGGGTAACACTCTTGGCAATTCCTACCTCTGTGAATAACACTTGACAAAGTCAGGCTAGGACTAACCAGCTTCTGGCTTGTTTACCTTCTCAAGCATTCCAGGCTTTTTTTCTCTGATTTTTGTTCTTTATAGGCATTATCTCTGTAATAGGAGTAGTTTGGAAGCTGCTGCAATAAACCCACTGTTGATGCTTGGCATAAATGTTCCTTTCTTTGCCTCAGTGAAGGCCCCATTATTAAAATAAGTATTTGTAAGTGAATATGAATCAGAACAGTTAAGCATTGCTTTGAAGTAAGCCTTATAGAAGAAATCCCTAAAGAATGTCTTCCAGGAAAAAGTCCTTGGCCTTGAAGCACCAAATTTGGGACTTCTGGTTTGAGAGAACTACTCAATGTCTGCATTGCTACAGATGATTTTGGCTGTGTGATGTTTCCCAGCAAACCAGCTGGGGAAAAAAAAAAAAGAGAAAGGCTTCATGCTTCACTTCCCTTGTGTGGTTCTTCTGTCTCCACCTTCTGGAAGCTGAGAGCAAATCATTTAAAATCATCTGATGGGTTAATGACCTGGAAAGCAAATGTGTTGCAAGATCAGTGTTTGACCCCCAGCTAAAGGGCATCATCAGGGATTGTTTCAGTGATGTCAAAACACTGAGTCCAGGGAGTAAATAATTAGGGTGAAAATGCTCTTTAGGCCAAAATTGTAATTTTTTTTTTCCTCTCTGCAGATTGTATCAGACTGAAGCCAGGCAGGAGCTGAAATTCACGCAGGCACAGGCTGGTTTGGGTTGGGAGGGATCTGGTGGCTTTCAGCACATCCCTCAGCTGGGAACTGAGTGTCCTTCCCTGCTGCTCTTGTCCTTCTGCAGGTGGCAGCTGCTCCCTGGTGGTTGCCTGTGAAAGGAGCCAGCTGGAGGCACCCAGAGGGCCCCGACTCCAGCATCTCCAGCAGGTGAGCCATGAGCACCCATCCCACCACAAACCCAGGGAATGTCCCTGCTCCCAAGGAATGGGGCTGCAGGAAGGGCTTTATTCAGTCCCCTGCTGGCTGCTGCTTCTGGGGCTGTGTGCCACCTTCTGCTGGGCTGCATGCAGCTTGCCATGGCCATGGCCAGTGGTGGAGAGCACAAAGGTCTGTCAGGACTGTGCTGGCTGAGCCTCAGCGTTTGCTGTTCGTGCCTGTGTGCCAGCAGGGAGCACAGCAGTATTGGAATATGAATCACGCTACAACACAGCAGATCTTGCAGGGTCACAAACTCCTGACCGAGGTTTGGAGGGGAGAAATCAATCCTCCCTGTGTGCACACTCTGGAGTCTGGGCACTCTGAACTCTTCCCTGTGGGATTTGGAAGCCTCTTCCTGTGGCAACAGAAGACTTGAGGAGTTTTGTGCTTTTTTCACTGTATTCTGACTCTGTGAAAAAGCAGTTGTGACTGTGTAGAACCTCTGAATGCTTTGGAGAACTCTGCTTTTTCTTACAGTTAGTGCCACACTTTGCCTGCACAAACCCTGAAGCTTGCAGATCCTTGTCCTCGTACAATTGCTTTCCATTCTGAAGTGGGATGAATTTTAGGCCTAGAAAATCAAATTACTGTCTTCATTTGGGGCCTCTGACAGTGCAGCTGCTCCTCTGACTAGGCAGGTGTCAATGAAGTTGGCACTTCATCAGCTAGTGGAAGTTTCTAACAGCATTTTGAAATCAAATCAGACTCTCTAGCCTAGATCTAGTAGGGTTTTGAGTCCTCTAAGGACAGGACTTTGTTAGTGCACCATCATCTGATGGCTGAAGCGCTCAGTAACGAGTTATCTGCTCTCCAAGGGCAAGGAAAGAATTATCTGAGGCAAAAATAGAGATAATAGCTGGAGGCATTGTTAGGGGGAGCCAGGAATTGAGGTCAGAGGCAGCAGACAGGAGCTGGAAAGCTGCCATGAAATTCTGGGCTGGTGCAGACCTGGCCTGGCACAGCTGCTGGGAACCTGGAAATGGCCCCAGGGGTCAACAGGGACACACTGCATTCCTAAATGGGGCAGCAACAGAGTTTGTAGGAAGTTCCTCTCTCTCCTGGACATTCAGCTCTGGGAGCATCTTGGACTGTAGGAGGCTTGGATGGGTTCTGCAGGAATGCCTGGGCATTTTTTTTGTCTTTTTCTGGAAAAAGGGACAAGGATTTTGATGCCAGTCCTGGAACCAAACCCCATTAAAGATGGGAGCTCTTGTGTAACTGTGACTGCTTAGAGCGCCCAAGGAAAGTCACTTCCCAGCTCCATTTCTGCAGTTCAGTTTCCTGGACAGGGTGCAGGATGCCCTGTGCCAGGCTGGTTTGGTGCAGGGTGCCCTGTGCCAGGCTGGTTTGGTGCAGGGTGCCCTGTGCCAGGCTGGTTTGGTGCAGGGTGCCCTCTGCCAGGCTGGTTTGGTGCAGGGTGCCCTGTGCCAGGCTGGTTTGGTGCAGGGTGCCCTCTGCCAGGCTGGTTTGGTGCAGGATGCCCTGTGCCAGGCTGGTTTGATGCAGGGTGCCCTGTGCCAGGCTGCTTTGGCAGTGCTAGTGCTGCAGGTTCCCAGTGCTTTCCCGTGGCTCTGTAAACCCAGGCTCCCCCAGAGGGCAGGGTATGGGCAGTGCTGGGTGCTGCCCTTGAGAAACCACAAACAACTGCAGAGCTGGAGGTGGCAGCAGCACAGACAAACAGAAGTTAATTATTTTCTCCTCCTGTTTCCCTCTGATGGCTGCATTTCCCTTCCAGCACTTTGCTGCCTTTCCTTAAGTAACTTTTCTGTAAAGTCACCTGGAGCAGCTGTGACTGCTCAGTCCCGTGTGCCCCTGTCTGGTGCCACACTGAGCTGTGCCGCCCCGAGTCTGCCCGGTGCCCTGAGGAGCCTGTCCTGCTCGTTTTGTTCCAGAATGGACCACCCAGTGCTCCACGTGTCCTGGAATGATGCCCTGGCCTTCTGCAGGTGGGCAGGGAAGCGGCTGCCCACCGAGGCCGAGTGGGAGTACGGCTGCCGAGGGGGGCTGGAGAGCAGGTACCTGTGAGGGAGGGCTGGCACACAGGGGGGCTCCTCAGGGGGTGTTACCCAGAACTGCTCTGCAGCCAGCCTGGGCTGTGCTCACCTGGAGGGGAGAAGGCTCCAGGCAGAGCTCAGAGCCCTGCCAGGGCCTGAAGGGGCTCCAGGAGAGCTGCAGAGGGACTGGGGACAAGGGATGGGGGACAGGACACAGGGAGTGCTTTAAACTTAAGGAGGAGAGGTTTAGATGGAGTGTTAGGAAAATGGTATTTATTGCAAGGGTGGGCAGGCCCTGGCACGGGGTGCCCAGAGCAGCTGGGGCTGCCCCTGGATCCCAGGTTGGACATTGGGCTTGGGGACACCTGGGACAGTGGAGGTGTCCCTGCCATGGCAGGGGTGGCACTGGATGGCATTTAAGGTCTCTCCTAACCCAAACCAGTCTGGGATTCTGTAAACTGACTTTTAATTAACTGTTTGACAGCTGCTCTGTTTGTCCTTCCTCAGGCTTTTCCCGTGGGGCAACAAACTGCAGCCCAAAGGGCAGCACTATGCCAACATCTGGCAGGGAGAATTCCCCACCAACAACACGGCAGAGGATGGCTACAAGGGGACTGCACCTGTAAGTGTGTCTCAAAGACAATCCAGCATGTGGAAATGATCTTAATCTTCCTAAAATTAAAGGCTGTCTTCAGGAGGATGAGCCATGGCTGTTTTCCTTCTCTGCACTCTTTCATTTTAGATTTTAAGTTGCATTAAATTTCACTGCAGGCTTGAGCATTATCAAGGGACTCTTTTACAAGCTAATTGAAAAGTAAAGATTACTTTCATTTTAACTTCTAGTTCCTCTCAAACTGACCTCTTTTCCCCCCTCCCAGTCTGTTTGTAGTCAGAAGCTGAAATACTTTCTGCCTGTGCTTCTGGCCTTGCAGTTTTGTGAGCTCAAAAATCACACAATAACTTAAGAGAAATTAAACTTCTCTTTTGGGGAAAGGTTGAGCCTGTCTAGTATAATAACCAGAGTAGAATTTTAAAGGCAATCAAGAATGTGAATGAATTATTGAATGGTATTTAAGTAAGTTCAAAAGTTTCATCAGAAGAGGAGCCTGCCCAGGCAGGAGCTGGCTTTTCCTTGGTGGGAGGGAGTCTGGGAGCTGTGAGTGGGGTCAGGTCCCTGATGCCAGGTGTGCCTGCTGCTCAGACAGTGCCTCCCTGGAGAGGCTGAGTCTCCAAAGCCAGCCAGGGGATGCTGTGTCACACTGGGACAGGGTGCTGGGGACACAGAGGTGACCGCAGCCTTCATCCTGCGTGATTTCCATGCAGGATGTGGAAGTGTTCCAGGGCTGCACTGCTGATGCTGCCTGCCTTTGGGGCTCCTCAGAGAGCACCTTGAGCAGACAGGTGTGAGGGTTCCAGCCTGTTTGGAGTGTCTCAGAGCTGTGCTCCTTTCCTGTGCAGGTCTCTGCCTTTCCCCCCAATGGGTACGGCCTCTACAACATGGTGGGCAACGCCTGGGAGTGGACATGGGACTGGTGGGCTGTGCACCACTCCCCCCAGGACCTCCACAACCCTGTGAGTGTTTGCTTGGCACGTCAGGGGCTCCTTGCTGTGGGAAAGCTTCTGCTCTGTGCTCCTGGGGTGGGGATTGGCAGCATCACAGCACAGCTCGTCCATGCTGCAATTGCAGTGCTCTGGTTCAGTTTTGGTGTTTGGTTAGTTCTTCACACCTGGTTAGAATACCCATTGAATACTTCCCAACTGGCCTCATATTACACAAATCGATCATTTATGGAATGACTTCTTTAAAAAAAGGAAGGGTTTTAGTTCATTTATGTTGCTACACACTGTACTTATTTTCCCCCTCCCAGGCAGAGAACAAACCATCATGAATTATCTTTCTGGCTTCTGACAGCTTCTTTTAAACTGAACATGTGATAAAACTTGAGTTTTAGAAGTCACCAGGCTCTGAGAGGTGAATCTTTGTTTTTCTTTATGGCAGGCAGATGCAGGTTCCTGCAGGGTGAGGTGTGTGAGGTCACTGATGCTCTGTCTCAGCAGGTTCCAGTTCCAGTGTTAGATCTGCTCCTCTCCCAGTTATGCAGGATGAGTAAACCCCATGATTTATGAATATGACAAGTAAGGCCACACAGAGTTTGTCACTCAAAACCCCAACAAATACTGTGTGTTTTATTTGCTAACAACTTAAAAAGCACTTTCAGGTTTATTTTTATTCCTGGTAATTACTTCTGAAGGCAAGACAATTATGGAACCCCCCAACAATCTGTGTGCAGAATTCCATCCATTCCTTGTAACCAATCCCCAGCACAGCCCAGATCTCTGCAGTGCTAGAAAGCTGCTTTGAAGATTTTGGGTGTTAAACTTAAGATGATAAAAAACTGTGTCTGAGCTCTGACCCTCTGGAAGAATTCAGTCTTTTCAGCCCAGAGAACACATCCTTTATTTAGGTTACACTGCCCTGTGCTCTGCAGAGACTGAAGAGCTGGGCTCTGATAGATCTGGTGCTAATCAGTTCTAATGTCTCAGAAGATAACTGCAGCCTGGCTATTTTGGGACACCTTTGCACATGAGGAGGTGCAGTTTCCTTACCCATTTAACCAGAAAAACCCTTTGGAATTCACTTTGAAGTGCTCTGCCTCGGACACTGGATTCTGCCAATCGGTTTGCATATGAAAAACCCCTAAAAGCCTCATTGTTAACACCTGATTTTTAAATACTTCCTGAAGTGTCTGGTTTAAAACTTCAGCAAACTCTTGGAGTTGAACAGAGCAAAATTCACAGGATAGTTGTTCCCCAGCATCACCTTAATCCAGCAGGGAAGTGCTCCTGTCCTGGCATCATCAACACCCAAGTGTCTCACATAAATAATTATGGTGAAGGTGCCTCCCTGCAGTCACACAATCCCAGAATGGTTTGGGAACTGATTTCTCTCCAAACAGAGTAACCATGTGGCTGTGCACTGGAAATCACCATGCCCCATCAGAAAGCATTTGTTTGATGTAATCAAAGAAGTACAACTTTATTTTCATTAAGAAAAAAAAACTTCTGGGTTTTTTTTAGTGACTTTTAAAAGAACAATCCTACTTCTATGAGCTTTGGTAATGGAATGCACAAGCACTTATGTCATCAGACTGGAATATGGCTGTTGCAGTATTCTAGTACAGAATAACCTTGTTAATTTACAGTAAACCCTGGGGTTTAATTCTGGGATCAAAGTCTGGACAGCTCTGGCCCTTTGCACCCACGTCCTTCCCCTTCAGTACCAGCTGGTGCACTTCTCCAGGTCTGGCCATAAAACAATGGTGCTTGATAGAACAGAGATTTGCTTGTTTTAATCAAATGTGACCTTAATTGCTGGGCTGAGATTAGCTTTAATGAGGGGAAGCACAGCCAAGGCAGTTTCCTTCATCTGTCAGTGAGATATGTGCACAAGCAAATGTTAACTGCAAATGCTGCTACTGATGTCTGTTGGTTTTCTGACATCTTTGCCAGTTGTTGATCATAAACTCTTTACCTTCAGTCATTTTAAATAGGAGAATGATGTTTTATAATGGAACAGATTTATGGAGGACAGTACAGCATTTTTCTGCAGGTGAGGTATTTCAGGGCTGTAATTCTCCTTCAGAGGCTGTAGGGGTCAATTTAAGTTGGTTTTTTTTTACTAAATGACCTTTGATGCTCAATTTTGGCCTGGTGGAAGATCTTTGTAGTTAATAAAAAGATGCACCTCTGAGCCTTTGGTTCACACACTGCTCAGTGCAGGTCAGCCCTTTGTAACTGCTGACACATGACAGATTTAGGGTTTTCTAACCCTAACCAAAAATGTTCCTCTTCATTTATAGGAGTGTCTGTGGAGCCAGTTGCACAGATTGCTGCTCAGCCCTGCAGCATTTAGGGGAAATCCTGCTCCCCAGCCCCATTGTTCTGCTTTGTCTTGTTCCCATGAACTTTTGTTAGGTCAGTTTTCTCCTGGCTTGCCTTGCAATGAGGTTACCAGGCTGGGTGATGACTGTGCTGGCTGGAGCCTTATCTCAGAGCAGGGGCTGTGCACCTGCAGCTGTTTGGGGACAGTTTCCAGAGGCCTCAGTGGGAGCAGGGCTGGGCTGTGCAGCAGCACCCAGGCTTGGAAGGAGCGGATGCTGCCTCAGGGTGTGCCTTTCCTTGAGTGTTTGTGTGCCATTAAATGCCAAATTCTTTTTCACACGTGTAAATTTTGGCAGTAAACATGAGGCTGCTGCAATTTGTGCAGTGAACTTTCAGACAAAGCTGTCAAACTCAGGGGGTGCAGGCAGGAGCTGCTGGAGTACCAACATCAACTCTCAAGGTTTTCTGACAGTCCCTCGGGTTTATGTTCAGTTACAAATGCACTTCTGGGGTAGATTGTTCTAGAACATCACCCCTGGTAATGCAGACCTGGTGGGAGACAAGTGTACCCCTTGAGACAGGGTAGGAGAGTGGGATCCATGGCAGGTGTGACCAGGGTGGTCACTAAGCAAAGCTGGAGCTCATTTCCTTCCTGGTAAAACCCTCTTAGGAACCCCCCTGTTCCCGGGCATTATCAGTGGGCAGCACCTGGAATGTTAAATATTTTCAGCAATATTTACTGTCACCTGCAAATCCTGTAGGGCAGAATTATTTCAAGCTGTGTGCTTCAGACACCACTGAGATCTGTGTCTGGAATATTTCTGATTGCTCCTTCTCCATCCCCCTGCTCCCTGTAATGAGCAGTTATTCCTGAGTACTGACCAGTGTCCTCCCTCCCCAGCAAGGGCCGCCCTCGGGCACGGACAGAGTGAAGAAAGGTGGATCCTACATGTGCCATAAGGTAACTCCTGTGCTCTCCTCCTGTTCCTCTCCCTCTGAAAGCACTTGGCCATGATCCTCTGACAGTTTCCTGGCAGCCTGCATGCTTGTCAAGGGCTTTCATGGCATTTGTGAAGAGCAACACCTGATGTTCCCAAGGACCTCTTTTTGCTTAGCTTGAAGTTAAAACAAGTAAGTTTTTTTAATCAGTATGGGGTTTAGATGCAGAACTTAAAGTTGATGCAGGCTTCTAATGGTGTTTTCATGATAGAGCTTGAGTGATACTTGTCAGACTGGAAAGTAGGGATGTGACTTTGTTTTTTAAGTTTTAGAATGGCTTTTGATCCAGAAGGGTTATGGAGCTCTGAATAGCCAGGGAAAGGTGTTCCTGCCCAGGGCAGGGGTTGGGGCTGGATAAGCTTTAAGGGCCCTTCAATCCCAAATCCTTTTACAATTCCATGGTTCAATGATATCAGGTGTTTGCAGAGCTGGCTGGGAGATGAAATGCTTGTTGGTGGCATACCTGAACATCCTTCAGAACTGCCAAGATGTCACCACAGAGTGATGGCTGTTCATGACACAAAATAGTGTTTTAAACTCTGCTCATGCAGTGCTTAAAAGCCCTCATGTACATCTCCTGTTTCATTAAAGCTGTCCTGTTCTTCCCTTGCAAAGCCTGTGGCTGGCAAATCACTCTCATAATTAGATTAAATTTTCTGCAGTGAGATCCCATTTTCTACACTGATTTCCTTCTTAGGTGAAATCAATGTCAGATGTTAATTAGCAGTTTTGATTAAATTAACACTGGAATAGGCTCTTCAGTGATGAATAACATGACCCATTTTGAGGGTTTGTGAAGATTCTAGTCTGCCCTAGTCTTTTTTTGTAGGTGATAAAACTAGGCTGCGTATCAAGACAAAACCACTGACTACTGTTACTACAAGGGCTCTTTATTAGGTGCCTGCCATCAGCTCAGACTGATCTTTGTGTGCTGGTGCTCTTCTCCCCCTCAGAGCTGTCAGTGCCTGAAGCTGCACCTTTTTACATCCCATCCCAAAAGTCTGGCACCCCATTCAGGGAAATGTTCAGTACCTGTCCATTCCAGTGGGGCATTAGCACATGGATACACAGCTCAGCCTCTGAGGGGAAGCTGAATGGCTGTTCTGGCTTTTTCCCAGAGCAGGAGAGATTCTTGGCTGACACTTTATCAGACACTTTGCCACTCAGTCTAGTTTTTGTGTCAGCTGGTGTCTGTGCAGGATTCCCTCATTTCTAACGCAGCGATTTCCATCTGTAGCACTTCATCGATCTGTCCCACAGCGATGGCAGCACTTTGCTGTATTAATCTAACTAATTAATCTGTTAATCTAACAAGCTGTTGCCCGAGGAGCCCCAGCTGTGCTAAGAAGTTGCTTTTCTGTGTTGCTGTTCAGTCCTACTGCTACAGGTACCGCTGTGCAGCCCGGAGCCAGAACACGCCCGACAGCTCCGCGTCCAACCTGGGCTTCCGCTGCGCCGCCAGCAGCGCCCCGGGGCCGCGCTGAGCCTGAGGCACCGCGGGGCCGCGCTGAGGCAGCCCCGGGGCCGCGCTGAGCCTGAGGCAGCCCCGGGGCCGCGCTGAGCCTGAGGCGCCCCGGGGCCGCGCTGAGCCTGAGGCACCGCGGGGCCGCGCTGAGCCTGAGGCAGCCCCGGGGCCGCGCTGAGCCTGAGGCAGCCCCGGGGCCGCGCTGAGCCTGAGGCGCCCCGGGGCCGCGCTGAGCCTGAGGCACCGCGGGGCCGCGCTGAGCCTGAGGCGCCCCGGGGCCGCGCTGAGCCTGAGGCACCGCGGGGCCGCGCTGAGGCAGCCCCGGGGCCGCGCTGAGCCTGAGGCACCGCGGGGCCGCGCTGAGCCTGAGGCGCCCCGGGGCCGCGCTGAGCCTGAGGCACCTCGGGGCCGCGCTGAGCCTGAGGCAGCCTCGGGGCCGCGCTGAGCCTGAGGCGCCCCGGGGCCGCGCTGAGCCTGAGGCACCGCGGGGCCGCGCTGAGGCACCCGGGCAGGGCACAGCAAGGGCTGCACCCACCCAGGGCCAGCACCCTGAGCACAGTCCCTGGCTGATGGCACCACGGAAAAACCCTGCTTGAGGTTCCTGCTGAGGGAAGAACAACCAGCACGACTCGAGAGCGCTTGGAGAACCTTCGTGTTCGTGAGCAACCTGGCCTGGGTGTTTGAGTTCAACTGGAACAAAACTGAGCAGAAACATGCCAATCGTGTTTTCAAATACTACTTAATCCCAGAATTAGGCTGGAAAAACCTCCAGAATTATTGAGTCCAACCCTTGACTGATCATGACCTTGTCAACTACAACAGCTCCTCTTTAGACAGGATCTTTATTAATTAATTTATGTAGGACTTCTACACTCAAATGCAATACGCAAAGACTTTATAAACTTCTAGACAGCTTTAAAAGCAATTCTAGGCAATTAGGAAATTCTAGGCAGCTCTGAGAGACAATGAAGGAGTCCAGAATGAGGGCTGGTAACTGACAGCTCTCCCCACAGGCAGCTTGCCCTTTGTTACATTCCACTTGCAGTGAAAATCATGTCCAGAAATGGGCTTCTCCTGGGAGATATTTGCTGCTCTTTAGGAAGTGCCTTCTGCAGCTGAGGGAGATGATCCTCAGGGTGATGATGATTAGAAATCTTGTACATATTTGAATAAAATATCAAGCATTTGTTTATGCCAAAGACTTTTATTGATGGAAAAACACAACTTCCTTTGAATTTCTTGGACGCAGCGTAGGCTTATTTTAGGGACTTGGAAAATGCAATACTGGCCTCATTAGAAACTGAAGCTAATGAATGATTCCACTTGAATAAGAGTCATGGAAGTGATGGCAGATGGAACTGTGAGCCCTAAGACCTAATAGGGTAAATTTCTAAACTGTTTTGTTGAAAATAAAATTCCTCACTGGGAAGGAGAGGAATTTTAGCAAGTGGGAAGGGAAATGGGAGCAATTGAAAGCAACCTCGTTTTGGGATCTGAATGTGACTGTGGATTAACAAAAGCCTTGGCACTGATGTTGGTCCTTGCCAGTGTTGTCTCTGCTGTAGAAAATTGGGTTTGAGTTTAATGCAAATCCATCACCTGGCAGCTCCTTCTGCAGTGGTTTCATGTTGAAAAGATGACACAGGAGAATGCCTGGGTAGCCCTTCACCAAACACCAGCCTCCAGTGGGGTCCAGGTAAGCCCAGCAAGCAGCAAAATCTAGCCCAGGACACAGCATGATGTGGCACAATATTGAGATATTGATAATCATTATTGCACTCAGAGAAGAAAGGAGGAGGGAGGATGAAGGGAAGCTCAGAGCCCTGTGAGCTGTTTGACTGGATTCATTGTGGATGAGCACACTGAGCTGTGAGGGGCAGACTGGGGCTCTGAAGGAGAAAGTGAACAGAAATTCAGCAGACACAACAAAGAGTCTATTTCTTTCCTAGTTTATTGACAGGGAATTTTTTTAGTAAGATTTTGGTGCACTCCCCCAGGCAGCTGCAGTGCCAAGGCATGGTGGAGCATAGTGCTCTATGGGAAAAGGCCATTAACAACTGTCAGGGTGGTTCAGAACTCAATGAACAATTATTTTGTTTGTGCAAGGCCCTCAGTGTGGCTGTTTTGAGCAGCCCAGCACTGTTGCTGTCCTGGGATGTTTGCTCCAAGCAGATGACTGGGATCAGGTCCCTGCCAGGAGCTGCAGCCCTGGCGTGGGCTGAGGGCTGGGATTGCAGCGACAGAGGGCTCAGCTGTGCTCCTGCTCTGGGGCTGTGATCAAGGACCAGATGCTGCTCAAGGTGGTTGGGATTTTTAATCTGCACTTCCTTAACTACTCAGAATCATGCCAAGTGCATACTCATAACAGGAAGGTAACAAACTGTGCTGTCATCCTGAAAACGAGGAGTGCAGATGCCGTAACACTCATCTTGAAACTTTGCTCAGGAGGGAAGAGGAAGTGGATTGGATCATCTGCTCCCAGCCCTGTGGTCTGAAAGTGGTTGGCATGATGCCTTCTCAGGGAGAAAATCAGATCAAACTCTGTTCTGCACAGGAGACCTTGCAGTCCAGGCTGTGCCCTGGAATCCTGTGCATTCCAAGGTATGGGATCCAGGGAGTTTCCCTCCTAGAACAGCAGGAACCCTAAGAGGCAAGGACTGAAGTTAGTGTCCACTCAGCCTGTAAACCACTTCTGCCAGCAGCTGAAATCCTCTGGAAGGTTCTGCACTGACAGAAATGATGCTTAATGATTAACCCTAAGAGAAATGACGTGGTAATGTTTATTTTGACATAAATCCACAGCTGTGTTTAAACCCCAGCAGCAGCAGGAAGGCTCTTAAATGGGAGAGGTTAACACTGCATCTTATCAAGGAAGCAAACATAAGCACCAAGCAGGATTTTGTTTAGTAAATAGCAAAATGTCCTTTATCCCTGGTCACTATCAGGTTAACCAGAGTGGTTTGGGTTGGAAGGGACCTTAAAGCTCATCTTGTTCCAACCCCCCTCCCCAGAGCAGGGGACCTTCAATTCATTCAGAGCTTCATCCTTGAATTATTCTGATCATATTTCAATAGGAAAGTCAATCTCCCAATGAATATTGAAATATTGATAATCATTACTGCTCTTGGAGAGCAGACAGGATTACAGAGCTCCCAGTTTTTAGCTGTTTGCCTGGATTCCTTGTGTAAGAGCACACTGAGCTGGGAGTGACAGCTCAGTCCTTCAGTGGCACCAATCCTTCAGGTGCAAATCAAAGTTGTCTGTAATTTAAAAATGAAGTCACTGATCAGCTGCAGAACATCTGATCCCCGTGACATGCACTCTCTTGTGTGTTTATGTCAAAGGGTATGGAAACAGGTGAAGATCCAACTGTCCAGAGAAAATAATTGAGGGTTTGCTGCTGATGGCACAGTGTGACATGAATAAAAAACACTGCATTGTAGTTTATCCATCTTAAATATCAAAACCAGCCTATGTGAAGCTGCCTTAGCTTGAACTTTGCAGAAAGGAAGTGAAGGGACCTGCAGTTACAGAATGTGCCCCTGTGGCAGAGCATCCCTGGGGGAAGGAGGTGCTCACAAACCCCTGCACAGCTGCTGGAGCCAGACAGGGATGATGCAGGGAAGATGGAATGGCCTTCTCCCTGTGCTGGGAAAGGCTGCCTGGCCCTGGGGTAGTGAAAACACGGATCAGTTAGCAGCTGAAAGCACCCTCGTGCATCTGTCAGCTGTTCAGCACAAAGCACAGATCTGTTGCTGTTCAGATGCACTTCTGGATTTCTCCTTTCACTCAGCTGTCAGCACCATCTTGCTTCATGCTGCAGGGCTGCATTTGCTTCCTGAGCAGGAACTGAGTGCTGGGCAGTCACAGATGGCAGAGATCTGATGGGAGCAGCCTCCGGGCTGAGGTGATTAAAGATGGGATGTGGTGCTCCTCAGAGGCTGCTGTCCTGCACCACTTCAGCAGGGCTAAATGGCAGTGAAACAGCCACTCATTCACAGCTGCTTCGGGCATGCAGCTGGAGAAGGGACACACCAGGTACTACAGCTACTCTTTGTTTTACATCAATAATTAGTGGTTACTATGCTTTGTGGAACAAAAAAAAATTACAGCAAGTAATTTAAAAACAATAATTTAATGGATTTTAAGAACCTAATGCCTTTCTTGCAAGAGTCATGGTTCATGGTGTTATTTTCTTGAGCCACTGTCAGTGACTTTGCTTGCTGTTATCACGTCCTGTCCGTGTACAAGTGCCAGAGGTACAAATTCTTCCTGAAGGGTACAAACTGCGAATACAGCAAGCTGTCAGAGGAAAACCAGACAAAACCACCAGGCCTGGCTCAGTCACTGATTTTGGAACATCTCAAAGCTCCAATAATCCCTTGTACTATCCACCTTGAAAAGGTTTTTCCATAAAATTAGTCTTGAAACCATGTCTCTTTGCTGTTCCTCAAACCCCACGTGCTTCCTTGTTGGAGCAGAATGAGTTGGATTTAACTGCTAGAGAAGAGTATTTCTAGGTGTGTTGAAGGCTGAAAGGCTACGGAGAACTCGCTGGTGTGGAGAAGAGGGAGCTGTCCCAAGGTAAGAAGGAAGCACACGTGCGGGAGCCACAGTAGCAAGGTTTCCTCAGGCTGTTCTCCTCCTCCGGAGCTTTGTGTTCTCTGCTGGCTCCTGGGAAGTTCCGGAATCTTCCAGAGTAATCATACGTGAGTTCCTCTCCAGCAGCAATATCAGCAGCTGCAAAAAGCGCCAGTTTGGGCACCATGGAGTCAACTCTGACGGGCACCATGAAGAGGTTGGGCTCACAGGAGTGGTTCAGGAACCTGCCCACGTTCCCGACGCGCGTGGGATCCACGAAGGTCTCCATGACGCGCCCGTCGTGCAGGTGCTCCCTCACCGCTATGATGTAGTTTGGTTCCTGTGGGCTCTGGGCCCGGATTCTCCTGCGGGCCTCGGCGAAGCCCAGCACCTCCCCGGCGTACTCGCACACGAAGCTGCCCGCGGGGACGGGCTGCAGGGCGCGCACGCCCCAGCCCTTGCGCCGCGTGCGGAACACCTGCAGGCGCAGCCGCAGCCCCCGCTGCACCAGGCGGTTCTGGCAGCCCTCCCCGCAGCAGCACAGGCTGTTGCACTCAAACACGGGCCTGGAGAAGGGCTGCTCCTGCTGCTGGGCCAGCAGGAGCCCCTGGCTGCTGTAGCTGTGCCCGCGGCTCAGGCAGGGGCACGCGGGCGCCGCGCAGGAGCGGCTGCGGCAGGGGCAGCCCGGGAACGTCACCTCGGTGGGGTCCAGCTGTCCGTCCGCTCCGGCCACGCTCTCGGGGCTGTACTGCGGGGACAGAGCAGTCAGAGCCACAATGGCAAACAAGTCTGTGTCTATAAACAGGTATTTTTATATCTGATCCCAGAACAAAAATCACGAACGCTTTGCTTTTCTGTCAACTGCCAACCCAAACTTGTCTGAAATGTTTAAAAGAATACAAATCACATATTCCATATAGACCAAAAACCAGCTGATTGCTCTTCCCAGGGAGGTGATAGAATCACCATCTCTGGATGTGTTTAAAAAAAGACTGGACATGGCACTTGGTGCTATAGTTTAGTTGAGGTGTTAGGGCATAGGTTGGATGATGATCTTAGAGCTCTCGTCCAACATCATTATTCTGTGATTAGTGTCTGAATTTCTCAAAACAACCCCCTGGCCACAAAAAATACTTAGCAGAAAAAAAAATCGGCTCATTAGATCGTACTATGTACGATTTTAATTTCTAGAGATACTAAAGACATTTATTTATGGATTATTTATTTGCAGAATTATCAAGGTATTGCTAAAGTAATTCTCCCCGCACTTCAAAATGCTCAATAAGTTACTTCTAAAGTTACTCTATAGCTCTTCAAGCCACAGAATTTCAAATACACAGTTATGTTAAAAATGAAGATACTTTTAATTTATCTCTTCAACTTGTTGCATGCACACTGCCTCCCAGTTCCGGTAGGAAATCAGGTTCTCAAAATTACACTGATGCCCCCAGCAGGTGAATGGCTATAGAACCACGGAATGCTGAAAAACAAAACCCGACAGAAACTGCTGCATTTGGAAACCAAGGTACAGGACAGCCAGAGGGTATTTCCACTCCCTCCTCAGCATTCAGCTTTATTTAGAAGCCTGGAGGATGTGCTATCACTAAATATTACATTTCACAGCAGCTTGTACCTGGCACTTCTGGGTGTTGTGAAAGATGACAGTGCATTTGCAAATTTCTTTTTTTAATAAGCATCAGCTTCCCAGTCACTCGGCTTTACTCAAAACCAAGTTTCATGTTCCTCAACCACCATTTCGGTAAAATACGAGCACACCATGAAATTCAGGGAGATTTGGCTCTACAGGGATCACAGCTTACTTTTTCCTCAAGCCTTATTAAAAGCTTCTCCAATCTGGTTTGTATAAACTCTCAAACACCACTAAAGCAAATTCCTAGGCAGCCTAGAGCGACAGGACAAGCAGGAACAGATACAAACTAAAACCCAGCAGATTTCGATGCGATATTAGGGATAAATCCTTCCCTGGAGGATGGGAGGCCACGGGGCAGGCTGCCCGGAGAAGCAGCGGCGGCCGCACCGCCGGCGGTGTCCGAGGCCCGGCCGGAGGGGCCTGCAGAGGAGGGTGTCCCTGCAGAGGAGGGTGTCCCTGCACAGGGAGGTGTCCCTGCAGAGGAGGGTGTCCCTGCAGAGGAGGGTGTCCCTGCAGAGGAGGGTGTCCCTGCACAGGGAGGTGTCCCTGCACAGGGAGGTGTCCCTGCAGAGGAGGGTGTCCCTGCAAAGGGAGGTGTCCCTGCACAGGGAGGTGTCCCTGCAGAGGAGGGTGTCCCTGCAAAGGGAGGTGTCCCTGCAGAGGAGGGTGTCCCTGCACAGGGAGGTGTCCCTGCAGAGGAGGGTGTCCCTGCAGAGGAGGGTGTCCCTGCACAGGGAGGTGTCCCTGCAGAGGAGGGTGTCCCTGCACAGGGAGGTGTCCCTGCACAGGGAGGTGTCCCTGCAGAGGAGGGTGTCCCTGCAGAGGAGGGTGTCCCTGCACAGGGAGGTGTCCCTGCAGAGGAGGGTGTCCCTGCAGAGGAGGGTGTCCCTGCGGAGGGAGGTGTCCCTGCAGAGGAGGGTGTCCCTGCAGAGGAGGGTGTCCTTGCAGAGGAGGGTGTCCCTGCAAAGGGAGGTGTCCCTGCAGAGGAGGTGTCCCTGCAAAGGGAGGTGTCCCTGCAGAGGAGGGTGTCCCTGCAAAGGGAGGTGTCCCTGCAAAGGAGGGTGTCCCTGCAGAGGAGGGTGTCCCGGCAAAGGGAGGTGTCCCTGCGGAGGGAGGTGTCCCTGCGGAGGGAGGTGTCCCTGCCCCGCTCTCCTCCCCGGTGTCCCGCCCCGGTACCTGGAAGGCCGGCGGGGCCTCCCCGGGCGGCCACAGCGCCACGGCCACGGCCTCGCTGCCGCCGCTCAGCTCCGCCATGCCCGTGCCCCGCCCCCGCCGCCAAAGCTCCGCGCCCATTGGCTGCGAGGGGACGGTGCCGCTCGCTGATTGGGCGGAAACAGTGATTGACAGCGCCGAGAGGGGGCGGTGCCGTGTTGCATGGTCCCGTCCCCATCGGGGCGGGCACTGAGCGGGAGCCCCGGCCCGGCCCAGCCCCGTTCCCGTTCCCGTTCCCGTTCCCGTTCCACACCGGCCCCGGTCTCGGTCCCGCCCCGCATTCCCGGCCCAGGGATGCAGCCGCCCTCGGCAGGGTACGGGGAAATGCCGCCCCACCCTCTCCGGTCCCTCCCTCCCTCCCTACCCGAGGCTACACCTCCGACTCGCGCTGCGCTTCGTGCGATCTGTGCGAAGTGCGCGCCTCAATGGTCAGCGTTAATAGGAAACCACGGAGTTGTGTTATATTCCTCGCGTGCCTGTCAATCCCTGTTTATTTTGAAGGTGTTCGGGTTTGCTTCTTTTCTTTTTTCTTTTTTTTTTTTTTTAACGTGTCTGATGAGCGGATGGGGCTCCGAGCCCCCGTGCAGGGCAGGCAGTGCCCCATGCTCCTGTCCTGGGGATGGGAACAGCCGTGGCCATTGGCAAAAATGGGTCAGAAACTGTTGTAAAGTAGTTAATAATTGTTGAGCGTGTACTGTTAAAAAGTTTGGTTGTTATATTGTAAAAGGGATTTAAGGGTAGTTATAAGAAATACGGTACTCACTGTATTACACCTAAATAAAGTGCAGTGCCCAAGCGAAAGGAGCCAGCCCGGACAGAGCTGTAATGGCCAATCCAGTGCCGAAACCTTCGTACAAATGAAGGATCCCAACAGAAACCAATCCAGAGGACAGAAAACAGGATAAAAGGGGCAGCAGACCCAGTGAATGTGTGCTGCTCCACCTGGGGCACCGGGGATATTGCTGCTCAGGGAAGGAAGCATATCCAGCGCTGCAGCATCCTCGATGGATGGGAATGCTCCTGTTCAGCCTGCGGGCCCCCCTGAGCTCTAGGCCTTATTATAATAAATGCTGAAATCATTGTAATACTGGAAGTGTGTTCCTATTTTTTACAGCTGGGGATTATGGCTTTTGGCAAGACATGATCCAGCCAAATCAGTGTTCTCTGTGATGGGAGACACAAATCCATGGAAACAACTTGTGGCTTGGGATCACACACAGGTTTGGGTTGGAAGGGACCCTAAATCCCACCCAGTGCCACCCCTGCCATGGCAGGGACACCTCCCACTGTCCCAGGTGCTCCAGCCCCAGTGTCCAGCCTGGCCTTGGGCACTGCCAGGGATCCAGGGGCAGCCACAGCTGCTCTGGGCACAGGGGCCAGGGCCTCCTCTCCTCACAAACAAGAATTTATTCCCAATCTCTCATCTAAACCTGGCTCAGGGAAGTCCTGCCTGTGCAATATATGACATTCTTCTAAAGCATCTCACACGATCTCTTTCAGAGCTCCATGTCTTGGGGAACCAAAGCCAGGTGTGCTCCCCTGCTGGGGGTTCCATTAGCTTTAGTATTTAGCTCAGGTGTTTTGGGTTTCAGGTTGATTGGGAAGGCAAAGCCAGGTGTGCTCCCCTGCTGGGGGTCCAATACCTTTAGTATTGAGCTCAGGTGTTTTGCATTTGAAGTTGATGAAGCTGAGACCGTTAAATCATTTCACCTGAAGCTGTTAAATCATTTCACCTGCACGAGCCAGGTGTTTCCATTTGGAACTTAATTAGCACACCTACAAATGAGCCCCTGCCTCAGAGCTGGGTGTTAGAAGTTTCTGGAGTGTGCCCTGTGCTGCTCCAGGAGGATGTTACTGTAGCTGCTGGTCCTTGGGATGGTTACTGACCTGGCTTTTCTGGCCTGTCTTTCTGCAACATTCAAGAAGTGAAAAGTTGTTGCATCTTCTGTTTCCTTCGTCCTGCCTGGAAAAAGGAGCTGAGCAGCAGCTGGTGAGTTTGAACAGTGAAATTTGTGTTTATGGGGGATAATGGGGGTAGGGGGTTGATGCGAAGGTAATGAAAGTGTTGTTTGCTGGGTAACTGAAAGGATTGTTTTTGCCCTGGGGCTGTAGGAGGAGGGGAGGTGCAAAAGAGGCGCTTCTGGAGGTCTGTGCTTCTCAATGTCTGGCTTAATTTTGGGGAAGACCTTAATCAGTTTAAGGTTGTGCTGTTAGTGCTTTATTACAGATCAGAATGTACATGGTGGAAGGGTCTAAACGCAGCCTGTGGTGCTGGGTTTGTCCAGCACAGCTGCTCTGGGTGGCCGCTCTCGCCCCAGGAGTGTGGGGAAGGCAGATCAGCTTTGGGAGAGCTGCTGAGCGGTTGGTGATGCTAAAATGTGCTTCAGTTTAGGGCTTTCTGTTATTAACGAGCTGACTTTTAGATCAAGGCACTGATTTGGCTGCTGGTCCCCAGTGCCAGATAGAATTCCCTACCATTTTGAAGTGATTGCAGCAACAAGTCATTACTGTGTTGTGGAAGAAATAGGTTACTTGTATGTGCAGGGGAGGGGTTTGGGAGCTTGCAAAAGGTCATGGAAAATTCAGTGTTTTCCTCCTCCTCATCTCACCTAGAGCTCTGTTGTGTTGAACTGTGACTGGGTTAAAGTGTTGGGAGGTCCAGGGTAGGTGAAAAACTGAGTGAAAGTTTTCATTTGTTATATAAAATTGTTGTGGAAGGACAACTTAAAATGGAGCTGGAAGAGTGAATTGGAGGTGAACTTTGTGATGCTGATCTGAGGCACCTGGGAATTTCTTTTGCAGTCTCTGGGATGAGACTGCAAATCCTTTTTGTTACACTATGTGTATTAAGGTGCTGAGTCTTCCCCCTGTATAAATAATACTTTTTTCTCATAAGTAATTTTTGTGATCCCTCTCTACACTCTTTTGAATTTCTTAATATTCTTCTGAACGTTGGAATCTGGGAGGCTTGCCCTGCCTGAACTGCGAGTTTGTGTCTTTACCTCACTCAAATTTTGGTGGCTGAGGCTGTGTGCTGTGCCAAGCTCAGGGGTGTGAACCTGTGCCTCATCACCTGCACCTCAGGGAGGTGTGCTCAGAAATCTTGGTACAATCCTGGCCTAGAGGAACCTAGATGTAAAACTTTCCTGCCTTTCTGGTAGGCAAAAGGCAAAGATTCCAAATTGGTGGTGGTGGAAACGAAACCATCCTGAGTGATAGACATGGAATTCTGGTGTCCCCACCAGTGCTCCTGGGGATGTGGTGCAGCCCTTTCTCCAGCTGGGAGCGTTGCCAGCTCTCCATCAGCTCAGCTGTGTCTCCCTTGTGCTGGTTTTGGCCCCAAATCCCGGTTTCAGGGCTCTCCCAGGGAGAGTGACCAGGAGCCTTTTGCTAAAGGCTGTTTGGAGGCTCCTTTTGGCTCCCTCCTTTCCTGTGGGACCGATCTCTGAAAGAACAAGGTAAAGCAAAGGGAACACGTTCAGGGAATGTGAATGCCACAGGGGGGATCATTCCCCAGCTGGGCTCCTGCTGTGTGCTAACGAGCTGCTGGAACCCTCCCCAGGAAATGCAGGCTGCAGCGAGCTCTGGCCATGCTGTGTGTAAATCCTGCAAGGAGAAGTTAAAGATCGGTTTATTTAAGCGTGCCTTGGCTGCTCAGAGAGGGCTGACCTTGGAAAACGCTGTGTTTGAATAATGCAGTTTATCAAAATATCTCCAAGTGCTTCTGCAGAGAGAGATGAACTTTGTTTCCTTTCTTGTTCAGATAAGGAAACTGATGCAGAGCATGTGGAAGAATTTCATAAGTGGTTGAGCTCTTGGTTATCACAGGGCTCTGCATTTCATCCCTTCCATGTGCTGCTCGTGCAGCGTTGATTGGGTAACAGGAACCATAAATCTCTTTGCCAATACACTCAGAAAGTCTTGACTTTGAGATGAGTACCAAAGTTTTATCCCTCAACGTTTTGTCACATCCTTGGATGTAAGGAGAATAGGTCAGAGCAATAAGAACAACTCAGCTCTCCCCATGCAAACGGATTCCTCATTAATAGTAATATATTTTTGTGAAAATTAGTTTTGATGTATTTCAGGTCATTGAATTCACCCCTATTTTGGCCTGGCAGCAGCAGGTGAGCCACGTACAAAGTCTGGATGGATCCCTCATCTGCTGGCTAAAACTGTGCTGGTGTTTGGCAGGGGATGTTTCCTGATATTTTTGTTAATAGAGAAAGCCACAGAACAGTCTTTCAGTTAAACAGGCCTCTGTGTAACAGTATTTCTTCAAAAGAGGCTCATTACCAAGTGAGACACAGACCTGCCTGCCAGACTGGACAAATTCCCTCCCTTTGAAGTGCACATCAAATTCCTCCCGTGCTCCCCATCTGCCTTGTCTGAACAAACCTCACCTGACACCGCTGACCTCTGGCATTTCCCTGTGCCTCAGGAGATGGATTTGCACAGCACTCCCATCTTGTATGGGCCACACGTGTAATGGGCAGCTCAGGGGCTGCAGGCAGGGTGTGAGTGGATGTCTCAGGGATGCAGCAAACTCTGCTGCCAGCCCTGGCTGGTGCCATCCCTAATGTGCTGCTGCTTGCCAGAGGCAGAAATGGGGCTGAGAGAGGATCCCTGTGGTGTTTGTGGGATGCCCAGATGAAGGGAGGGGTGATGGATCTGACTCCATGATCTTCAAGGCTAATTTATTATTTTATGAGACTATATAATATTATAAGAATGCTGTACTAAACTATACTAAGGATACAGACAGAATGCTGAAAAGATAATAATGAAAACTCGTGACTCCTTATACCACCCCAATACAGCTTGGCACTGACTGGCCATTAAGTCAAAAACAATTCATATGAAACCATTGAAACAATCACCAAACTATAAAAATATCCAAATGTGTTTGGGTAAACAATCTCCAAACACATTCCAAAGCAGCACAACACAGGAGAAGCAAATCAGATAATTATTGTTTTCATTTTTCTCTGAGGCCTCTCAGCTTCTCAGGAGAAAAATCCTGGGTGAAGGGCCTTTTTTCA